GAGCAAGTGACTGTTTTGTGAATTGTTGCCCCAAAAGTTGGGCACCAGATGAAACATTAATTAATCTTTATCAGTAAAAATTTGGGAGTCAAACTTTGGGGTAAGAACCTGAAAGATCAGGGAACAGGTAGCAGTCACCATTTACTTCTTACCTCATAAGTTCCTCCGTCCAAAAGGGCCAAGATTCTCTCTCAGCCCCGCCTTACCGCTTCCTGTCTCCTCTCTCTACAAACTTCTATGATCAGCTAGTGGCAAGCTCTGCCCAATAATTCCAAGCAAGTTTTATTTATCAGACACAATCAAAATATCACAGAAAAAGACAGTTTTCATGACAGAGTTTCTCTGTGTAGCCCTCACTATCCTGAAACTCACTCTGTAGACCAGACTGCCTCGAACTCAGGGATTTGCCTGCCTCTATTCCCTGAGTGCTGGGATTAAAAGTGTGTATCAAAACCTCCTGGTGGAAGTTAAAATTTTAAAGTTGAAATCAAATAGCTGTGTATGACTCATAGCAGAATAGATCTTAATAAAGTTCGGGTAGTATGGCTAGGGGTTTTAGGAGATGGCTTCTAATAGAAGCTTGCCAACCCAAACCCACCTTATCAAAAGCAAGACCTCCACTGAGAGTAAATAAATGATGCCTGTCTCTTTCTCTTCCAGTCTTGCATGCGTGCCTACCCAAACTCTTCATTCCACCCCCTGCCCCTGTTAATCCCATAGTGTCTCTGTTTAACAAACCTAACCAAGTTTTCAGCAAGGGAGAGGTCTGGTTCAGGGGTGTGGTATGACTGCCTCAGCTGTACTCGGCTCTTTATAAGTGCAGAACTGGTATCAAAGATGCAGCTTTACAAGCTGTAGACACATCAGTCTTGATAATCCAAGTTGCAAGGACCTTGAGGTCCTGCACAACTCCACAGGCCTGGATCCTGGATTTTTGTGCTTATTCCATTGTCTCCTCAGGAGTTCTGTGTAATATGCCTTATATTTAGGGAAGGTGTGTTCATTGACCCTGATTGATTTTTTTTTTTAAATTCACAGTCAAGATAAGTCTCTGGGTTTAAGTGGCCCTAATTTATTGGTGGAGTAACAGTATTACGTTTTCATCTGTGCCTTGCTGCCAGCATCCAAATCTTTGAAGAACTCTTGATAGCTTTGAGAGTCTTTGTTTCAGATGGTCCTCTGACTCTTGCAACTCCCACACCCAGTGTAGTCCCACATTTCTGACACCATCATTAGATTTTCTGTGTTGGTTGTTAAGGTTACAGAAGAGTTTGTTTTCAGATAGAGGATATAGTTAAAAGAACATAAGTTCTGATTCTGAACAAATGTTGAACACAACAATTGAGACAAGGAATAAGACTGTAGTAGCTCATTAATAATTCTACTGTGTGTGAAGAATCTTGCCTGGGAACATTTTTCTTTAACTCTCATGAAGAAACATAGCTGGACATTTTTCTCTCTGCTGAAGACTTCCATGTTTGAGTAATGGGGTCAGAGCCTAGGGTGGGTTCATGACAAAACACAAAGGTAAGGCATCTTCTGGGAGGGGCTTTATCAGCACTGAGGACTCATTCCTCCACATGCTTTAGGAGTGGCCAACAGGCTGTAGTGTCCATCTCTACTAGTGTAAGGATGATGTGCTGAGGTGTGTAACATGAGGGGTCGGCTTGTTGGGGTTTTTGTCCTGCCCAGTTCCCCCAGCTGTTTAGTCCCAGAGAAAAATCACACAAAGGACTCTATAAGTTGTAATGCTGATTGGCCCATTAGGTCAGACTTCTTACTGGCTAACTCTCACATCTTGATTAACCCATTTTTCTGATCTATGTTAGCCATGTGGCTCAGTACCTTTTTCAGTGGGGCAGCTCACATCCTGCTGCTTCGGTGATCTGGGCAGGAGTGGGAGGAATCAGCTTCCTCCTCCACAGAATTCTCATGCTCTCCTTGCATCATTTCCACTTCCTGTCTGGTTTTCCCACCTACACCTCCTGCCTGGCCAATCAGCGTTTTATTTAAAACATGATTGACAGAATACAGACACTTTTCCCGTACCAGAGGTGGCTAGCCAAGCTGGTGCCTGCCTGTGTCTGGTACCAAGGAATCTAAAGGACAGTGGATAGTGTATATATGTATATGGATGGTGTATATGTATGTGTATATGTGTATATGGATAGAGTATATGGATAGTATATATATGTATGTGGATAGTGTACCTGAGCTTTATGGACCTTGTTAGGAAATACTGAGCAAAGTAACCCTGGCCTTTAAGCTTAGAGGGTAATGAAAGTATGGAGGTGATGGTTGTTTCTGGAAGCCATCTTGTTGACTGATCCACTTTGTGAGTCTTTTCTAGCTCATGTGATCTGATGAATTGTTGCTTTGTTTTCTACCCTATAGGAATTCTGACCAGGCCCTGTGTACTGCAAGGTAGTGTCAGGGCCGTAGAAAAAACAAATCAAGTGATTGTTGCTGGCTGACCACGTGGGGACCTGACACCTGTCAGAGTCCTCATTTGGGATTTCACTACACTTGTTTGTACTCTTCGCTCTTACCTCAGTAGCACTAGGGCAGTTGGATTAATCTCCCCTCTACCCTTCCAGCTTCTAAGCTTTCTGCCTATGTTCTGACTTTTGCTAAGAGTGGAATTCCAGTTCCTCATGATTCACAGATTTGTATGAGAAGAGAACAGAGCAGTGGTTCTGCAATGGCAGAGGTAGGCACATTCTGTAAGACTTCTTCAGGCGAATTCCATCTCCCCAAGTAATGTATATTTATATTATTTTAATTGTGACTATTTTTTCCTTTTAACTCAGAAAGAAACATTTTCTAACTTTAAGAAACATTTTATTAATGGCCTGTCACAGCTGGTCACACTATTCTTTTATTCTGAGGGTGAATAAACCCACTTGTGCCTTTCTGATGGTACCTTTTGCAACTGACATGGTCCCTATCCTGAATGTTTTTGTAAACTCTGTGGCATTATGGTGGCCAAGCTTCACAGGTGCCATGTTTGACTGGACTTAGAGATTGGTGGCACAGTCTGCTGGAGACTCCAGGTGAGAAGAGAATGCTTCCCTGAGCTTCAGTTGTCTGCCTCCTCCTGTTCTAAACTCACTGGCAGATTGGAGCAGCAGGAGTCTTGGTCATGCTATGAACGTGTGGGTTTTTAATTAACATATTTTGCTTACTGCTATGCTTGTTGCATGCCGGAGGGAGGGGCCTAGAGGTTAACTGAGTTCTGGGGCCTTGATCTGAGAAAGCTGATAGCTTACTCTGTAGTTGAGGTGATCTGAGACTCCATAGGCAGGTAATACTGAAGTGAGCCAAATTCTCCAAGTATCTTAACTGTTCAGGATACTGAGGACCTGAGAAGTTTTCATTTGTGTTTTCCTCTGCTTACATTTGAAATATGTGGCTATATAGGCTGCTAATCTGTGTCTCATTTTAAACTGGTTAAATAGTAAACTTAATAAGGTAAGCACTACAGCTTATTGCTGTGGTGCCTGAGAGCTCTCTGAGAGCGCGTGATCAATATTTATTAACATCCTGCCACCACATCTTGCACCAGTGACCTGACTGTCAGTTTCTCAGAGCTGTGATGTAGAGAGTGAACTCATTAATTAGATTTATCTGCCCTGTTCCATACACCACTCTTGTGCCTTAAAGCTGGACTTACCTGAAGGCACATGTATTCTTGGCTGCCATCAGGCATGCTGTCACTGAGTTAAAAGTTGCAATATATCATTTTTTTCCCTCCAGGAATTAAAATCACCCTTATGAGACTTTGTTTTCCCTCTGAAGTGTGCCATGCCTATTGTGTGATCACGTCAAAAGTGTCTTCTTGTGTCTCTAGGGGCTGTGGGATGCAGGTGACAGCCGGGCTTCCAGGCTTGGTCGCCATTCTGTCTTGAAAACTGACTCTCTTGAATAAATGCAAAGGGGGAGGGTGTCACTGTATTTCAGGTAGTTTTTTTTGTTGGTGGTAGTGGTGGTGGTGGTTTTTTTTTTTTTTTTAAGAAAAGGTTTTGCATTGATCCTATGAGGTTAGCTGAACACAATATCTTTGATGCTTAATTAAGCATTGCCATTTTGGAAATATAGAGAGAAATCTCTAGTGGAAATCACCCTTTTCTTCCTACAAATGAGTCTCTGATATGTTTTGGAAGATTTCATTTCAATCTTTTTGGTTTTTCAAGACAGGGTTTTTCTGTAGCTTTGTAGCCTGTCCTGGAACTCGCTCTTGTAGGCCAGGCTGGTCTTGAACTCACAGAGATCCACCTGCCTCTGCCAAGTACTGAGATTAAAGGTGTGCACTCAGTCCTTTTTTTAGATGTATGTAAAAAAAAAAAATCCTGGTTTTCTGAGACAGGGTATTTCTGTAACTTTGGAGCCTGTCCTGGAACTAGCTCTTATAGACCAGGCTGGCCTCAAATTCACAGAGATCCACCTGCCTCTGCCTCCTGAGTGCTGGGAGTAAAGGTGTGTACTGCCACCACCCAGCAAAAAAAATGTTAATGAAATTTAAGGTTTAGTTACACATTTGTATATCCTGGTTGTTGGAGTGATTTTTGTGTAACTATATCATGGTTGTTTACCCTTATCATCAACCACTTTTTTAAAAAAATACTAATTTTTTTTGTGATTTGATAACATGTTATTATCATAGATGATTTTGGTTGTCACTGATGTTTTCTTATTAGAAAGATAGCAAGACAGGATCTGAACTCCAGCTGCCATGTGAGCACCCCATGGCAGTTCCCTGGAAAACCCACTAAGCATAACAAAACTGGGAAAAAGTGTATGTGTCCCATGGCATCTGACCTTTATGCAACTACTTTCATTTTTCATTTAAATAAAGAGTATTGCATATATACAATCAGAAATAAGAAAGGAAATAAATCAGTATTGAGGTGTCTTATGTTCCTTTCTATCAGTTTAGCCAGTATAGCCCTGCCTTGGTTGAGCATGCAAAGGCTCATTTGACTGTCTTCTTGGTTTTGTAGATTGTTTGCTGCATGAGGAGAACTTCTCGGTGAGATGCCCCAAGCACAAGGTGAGTCATAGACCTCTGCACTCTTAAGTGAGACTGGCTGTGCAACTAGAGAATAAGGGTAGTTCCCTTTAAAAGATTTAAAGTCCCGAGCATTGAAAGACTTGACCCATGCCTATCTGACCAACATATACCTTTAGCTGAAGCTCTCTCCCAGTCTTTGAAAGTTAGGGGGTGCACAAAGCTAAAAGAATCCCTGGGGCAGGGGGCCAACACCCTTCATGGTAAGATGGGAAGAGGTATGGTGTTTTGAGGGGGATGTCTGTTTAATACAAGAAATTAGAAGATCAGACTCAATGAAACTATTACTGTTTTCTTTTTGAGTTTACTAGAACTCTACCTAGTTTATGGATCAATTCTTAGTGAGTTGATACAGGGCCTGGTATAGAAACATATCTTTGTCTAGGAAATAGAGTCAACCCCAGAGCTTGGGGAAACTCTCATTCTCTCCCCAGTAGCACAGCAGAAGCAACCCAACAATGAATAGGGATGGGTTGCCACTGACTCATTTCCCAGTGTGCTTAAGTGGGGCTTTCATGGTCATTCCCTTTAGGAAAGGTGGAAAAATGAAAGTAACTCATTTTTTGAGATGCCACAGAAGGCCAGATGGGGTAAAGGAGGAGGGTCAGGGTAGAGAGCTCTGCTGCCTGTGTTTCCTGCACTGCACCTGTCTAGCTGAGGTTACACTGACATCTGGTGGTCATTGACCACTCAATCCTCAAAAAGGACCAGGAAAAAAAAAAAGCAAAGGAACCATCTGTAGAAAACTGACCTCAGAATGCTCCTGGCAGACTCTTACGTTTCCTTCTAAGAATGCTTTCAGAGGTGGATCTCAGGGTCAGACAACATTCTCTCTATTTTTACCTGTGATCACATTTTGTCTCAGAAAGCCCCATCTGGGTGTCTCCTGTTTGTCATTCAGTACTGACTCTGATTTTTATTTCCTTTTCCATGTGCCAATCCTTTCCTTTCCTTACCACTACCCTCCCTGGTTCCGACTCTGTATTTTCTGTTCTGTCCTTTTGTCTTGTCTCCCCTTGGCTTTGGCCGGCGTCAGCCTCCCCTTCCGTGCCCTCTCCTCCCCTTGCAGAACAAGACCGCGAAAGGCAGCCTCAGCACAGAGCAGTCGGAGCGGGGGTGAGGGGGGCAATGTGCACGTGGGAATGGACAGCAAGCACAGGTGAGTTGGGGCCTGCTGGGCTCCCACCACCTCCTCACCAAGCTCCATGTGTGTCTGAGCCTCCAGCCTCTTATGGCCTCAGACTGTCATGTGGATTTTTAACAGTGTCAAGGGGTTAAACTGATTGTAGTGAGTGTCTCTGTGCAGCCATGAGAATGCAGTTCAGAAGATATGGGCCCTGGAAGCTTGGTTTACCCTTCCTGCCCTGCTCTGTCACCGAGAGATGAAAAAAAGTAGGGAGTAAAAAGAACAGAATCATTGTGACATGGGCTCTGCACAGTGGGCCTAGCTGTATTGAGGTATCATTCTCTAAATGGAGGATCTTCTTTTTCCCACAGACACAGCAGGCATATTCTCTGTGGAGTGTGCCTTCTTTCTGGATACAACTGGGAGGTTTTTCATTTTTGGAAAAAAATCAATGTTAATTTGAAGAACAGTTGAATTAATCTAATAGTATGTGGTGTTCCTCCTCCAAGAAAATGTTTAATTGGTAGTTCAAGTGCTGACTTCAGAGAAGTCTGTTTGCATTCTACTGTGGGATAGGTCTGGATGCAGATGTGGGCTCCCCCAGACTCCCTGGTGGGGATGGTGAGTGCATTGCTATTGTGCTTTTTCTCTATGCCTTCCTCTTGCAGGGAGTAGGGTTGGAAATGAATGCCTGGAGCAGAGCACAGTGTGAAAGACAGATTGGAACCACTTCATTTGTTCTTGGGGCACAAGACCCAAACATAAGAAGACTGTGGACTGACAAGACATTGTCATTTCTGCACTTACAGAAGCTGTTGGGCTTTACAGGCTGTGCATAATCCTTCTGGTACAGTCCTGTGGCCCTCAGTACAAAGTGGTGGGAGATACATATATGGGTTTTGGAGAATTGTATTGGCCTTCAGTGGAACTTACGCACTTTATTGCCACTGTGCCTAAGTAGGCTCTGCAGTGTCTGTAAGAGTTTCTGTATTGACCCTGATGGTTGGAGTCGAATTCTAAGGGGAATTCGGATCCCCGAAGTAAGTGTGTGTTAGAAGGCTTGGGTGAAGTAAAAATGAGTTCATTTGAAACTTGATTTTAACCTGAATTCCAGCCTGAGTTTTAGAAAATTTGGGCCTTGGGAACCTGTCTCTTAGGGACCTAGGTTATCATCCCTACTCATTCTTAGATGTTTCCAGCTCTAGACTGGAAGCAGAATGGACTTTGAACAGAAAGACTGAGCAGTTTTAACTCCATCCTTCATGGGCTGGTATCTGGCCATAATAGACCTGACCTTCTTGTGGGGATGGGCTTCAAGTCTGTTGGTGTTTGTAGCAGTCACCTATTGAGTAAAAGAGCAGACCCTGTGTTCAGTCATAATATCTGGAATATTCTTTGCAAACATATTGTACAATAAAAAACTTTTTTTTCTATGCTTATCTGTTCAGTTGTTACATTGAGGTCAGTCATTGTTCTTCAAAAGCCAATTAGCTATTGAAGCCTCAGTGACAAAGGCTAAGGGACAAAAACAAACCACTGTCCTCAAAGAATACTCGGGCTCAGGATAGCCACCATTAAGTCACACAAAGCAGAGATGGGACAGTGAGTGTGCATGTGTTCTGACCTTCTGGTAGCCCATTTCTTCACACAGAACGTTGTGAAAGGGGCTTTGTGACTGAGGTTAAAGCTACTTAGTATCTCTATGCTTCATAAGAAATAACAGTGATGAACTCAGGAGGATTTGACAAGGCCTTGGCAAATACAGAGCACACTGGCCATTGTATGCTACCTAGTTGTGTGTTTCTGAGAGCTAAAACTGCTCTATCTAGCAGAAAATACCCAATGCTAGGGACTAGAAGATGTTGCTTCAACATGTGGGATTTGTGCACTTGTCCTCACCAGGCTAAGAATGTAAGAGAGGTAAAGTCTTTGGATACTTGTCCAGTAGGCCATGTCCCATCCATTTCTGAGGATGAGAAAGCATCTTATCATGGTAGGTCTGTTGTGTTGGATAGTTAACTCACCAGGCAGTGATGATGCCCACCTTTTATCCCAGCACTCAGGAGGCAGAGACAGGTGGATATCTGTGAGTTTGGGGCCAGCCAGATCTACAGAGCTAGTTGGTGGACAGGCTCCAAAGCTACAGAGAAACCCTGTCTTGAAAAACAGAGCTAGTTCTAGGACAGCTAAGGGTACACAAAGAAGCCCTCTCCGGAATCAAAGAAAGATTGATTGTTACTCTTTGGGTTCATTGCAGGTTTACACAGTCTTCTGACAAAAGGACCCCTGAATGTGGCTTCTCTGCTGGGCCCTGAGATGTAGTAGACAGGGAACAGAAAGCATCATTTGAAGTGATGTTCTGTCCTGGGTGCTAGGGATGCCACCTACCCATATGCCCTGCACAAAACAGCCATGAAAAGAAAGGGGTGGCATCCTTCCTGTTCTCTCTGAGCAGCGTGCAGCCCATCCACAGATGAATGAGTGCCACCTCAATCCTAGTTTCTTCTAGGGAAGTGCTGCTGGGGTCATACCTCCAAAAGGAAACCCTTAGTCTATCACATTTCCCCGATGCCATAAATCTGCACTGAGTCAGAATTCAATTCCTCTTCAGGTAGGAATCACATGTACTTCAGAGAAGAGTCTGCCTCTGAATCCTGGCATAGTTGAGCTGAGTGATGCCTGCTGTAGTTGGGAGTCAGGCTTAGAGTTGGTGGAGAAGGATACAAAGGAAGCCCTCTCAGGTTCAGGCCACAGGGTAGGTGGGGGAGTCCAAAGAGAATTCTCTGTTCTCCTTGCTGAACATTAGGTGCTTATTGTTTTGTGGTTGTAGTGTGGTAGTTAAGTACCATATAAGAGTTCTGCTGCTGAGTTGGTCTTATCACATTCCCATTCTTAGTGATAATCATATGGACAGTAGCCACATGCTCAGTAAAATTTAAAGAGAATATTTACAGGTTGGAATGGCAGAAAGCTCACAGGAAGCCTAATTACCTCTTCTCAGCCATGTCTCATACAATGAAACACAGTCCCTGGAACCTAGTTAGCAAAGGATTGGGTAACTATACACCCAAATCTTGCATTGAACTAACCACGTGCTTTGGGCTGCAAGTGTCACCTCCCTGAACTTGAGCTTCCTCATCTTGAAGATGGATTCAAGCTACCTTAGTGCTGTGGTAAAACACCTGTATTCTCAGAGCTGGAGTCTCGGGCTGCACTATACTGCAAAGTGCCTTCCTCCTTACCGGACTTTTTGTAAAGGGCCGGTGTGTGTATGTGTACTTGAATGATACATTCTTAGGTCCTTCACACAATTTAACCTTCTTAGCTGTTGTTTATTGGAAAGCTTTGTGGAGGCAGGACTTGGGTTCTACTCTGAAGTTTATCTATTGGTGGCAAGAACGGGAGAGACTTGAGAAAGAGATGAAGGGGAATCTTGTTTTGTCTTGATCCCTTCCATGCAAAGCCCATTAGCTTAAATCACTGCTGTTTTTCCCTGTGTTTGGTCCAAAACCTCATGATAGTTCTAGCATTGATCTTGGATGTGTTCAAAACCAGCTGCCATCTACAAAAAGGTATGAGTGTAAGATACCTATTGAAACTCGTATCCTCCCATCGCTACCACAGCTGTGCTGAGACCATATAGATCTTCACAGCACCCTCTATCTACTGCTTGTTTTTCAGGTGAGACTGTGGAGATGAGAGAAGGTGGTGGACACACATGATGGAATGGAATCTTCCTGCTGTGCAACCACACCCCACCCTGCCCTGCCCTGCACCCCCATTGCGCCTGCCCATGCCAGCACTTCCTTCATATGTTCTCACATCACACTCAAACTGGTGACACCACAGGAAAGAAAGACACAAGATGTTGGAATGGCTGTTTCCATGGACACAATCTCCATAGTGACAATATGGGGGAGGGGGGAGGGGGGCTGAAGGGGAAGGGGGGGTTAAAAGGGAGGGATAAAAATATATATATATAAATCTATTTTTAGTCTGGAAAGACTTTGTTTAAATGAAAGGTGCGCTATCCCTTTTGATTCTATTTTAAAATTATCTAGTTAACTCAAAATTTGTTCCAATGACAATGAAATTTAAATGTGAAATTGAATTGAACAAACTCATCTCATGAAGGATGAGGTGTGACTTTGATCTTTAGCCTGTCTCACAACAATTCAGTGAACACTAGACCAGGACTGAAGGAGCAGACAAACGATATCACCTTTCCTCTGATCAGTCTGTCTTACAGGGGAGGTTTGCGGGGAGGGCAGAAGGGGGATGGTCATCTTCAAAAGGGGGGGAATGATGTTTAAACTCAAAAATAAATTTTTTTCCTTTCCAGAAACACTATTTTTATTTTTTTTCTTTTTTGGGGGGGTGGTGGTGAAATTGGGAGATGCCCCAAGGTCATGTCTGTGTCCTGCATCACTGTGGCTCCACCAAGTAGGTAAAGTAGCCTCACAGCAACAGATATACTAAGGAATGGCTTCCCTCTGGCTCCCTCTTTCCTTGACACATTCCATGTAGCTGGGACCCATGTGGACCCACAGAATCCATGGAACCCATGGAGGCCCAGGCCTCTGCTGCTGAAATAGGCCAGGTCTGGGAGAGAACAGCATGTGAACCATTTGGGTGGGTAAAGCTGGCCAGAACCACCCACTCTAACACTTTATTGCTTTCATTTTTATAATGGAAAAGGGGGCTTGTTAGATATGTGGCCCCATGCTACATGTATCTTTATGTTGTATTGTTTTGTTTTGTAAATTGTATAATTTTTAAATATATGAGTTTTAAAAAAAGAAAAAAAGTACAAAAAAAATCTTGTTAAGGCCTTAAGAAGGGATATGTGCATCTTTCAGGGGTCACTCTGCCGTGGGGATAAAATAGCTGTTTTACAAACAGTTTTATTTAAAAAAACAAAAATCGAAAAAAAAATCAAAAAAAAAATCAAAAACATAATAAACTTCATTTTAACCTTGTGTCCTTTTTCATTTACTTTAAGTGAATGTGTCTCTTCCTTCTTCAGGACCAGCCTCCCAAAGGGGACCTTGGCTCTGTTTATTCCCCAGGAGGCCACCATCAGTCCTTTGTCCCCTGGCCTCTCTAAGTCTAAGTGGTTCTTGTCAGCAGAGCCACGGTTCTTTTCTGCCCCATGGGACCATTCTGACTTTTTGAAGTTGACATGAGGACATATTCCCAATCAGCATTAATTTTAAGGATTGTAAATGTATAATTCAATGTTAATGGACTTTTATTTTTAAGAGAACAGAAGAAATATTGGAAATAGTGTTTTGAGTTGGAAGTAAGTAATTATAAATGAGTTCTAGTGTGTTCATCAATTCAGGGCCGCAGAAATGGCAGGTTAATTTGCTTTAATGACTGTACCAAGCAGTGTGGTCTATTTCTCACCTCACCTGCCTGGATGGTGGTATGGATGTGAGTGGTGTGCTGTGTCAGCCATGGGACCCTGCTCAGGCAGCTGCCCAAGACCTGAATAGAAATGATAAACACAGCTAAAATGCAATTGATAGATTTCAGGTGTCAAGGACTAAGTCATAAAACTTGAAAAATATGTATCTTGAGGAAAATACTCTCCTGACAGCAGATGTTTGTCACTTTGCCTTTTGTTCCTTTCTGATGACACCAGGGCACGGCTTTAGTATGATTGTCTGTCTTTCCTTAAACTGAATTCAGAAATGAGTCTGAGGTGGGCAGTGGCCCTGTTGGGCTCCTCTTGATGACAGTTTTCTGATGTCTGCAGTGCCCTAGCTGACTGTGCCTTTCAGCTCCTGCAGTTTTTAAGGTCAGTGCATGTGTGTTGTAATAGATTTTTTTTTTAAAAGCAGCTTTTGGTTTACTGTTGTATTGAATGGAAGATAAGCTCCTATGTACCCACATCCTCCAGTCATGTGCAGCCTTCCCCGTTATTAATGCCACCAGTGAAGGAGCATGTTTGTTGTAAGTGATGCACCTACATCAGGGTTTGCTCTTGGTGCTGTACGCTTTGTGGATTTGTACAAATTTATGGCGTCCATCTATTCCCATTACAGTCTCTTACAGGATGGTTTGCTCCTCCGTTTCCTCACCAAACCTGTCAACCACTGATATTTTTTATCATCTTCATAGTTTTTCCTTTTCTAGACTGTCATATAGTTAGAGACGTGTGTATGTATGTATATATGTATGTATGTAGCCATTTCAGATTGGCTGCTTTCAATTTAGTAATTCACATTTATGGTTTCTTCATGTGTTTATGGATACACAGCTTAATTCTTTGCTGCTGCCAAAAATTACTCCATTGTCTAGATATGCCCAGTTTTTCTAGCTTTTTGTTTGCTCAAGGACATCTTGATCGCTTCCAGTTTGGGCGCTTATACGTAGAGCTGCCATAAATACTGTGCGGGTTCCTGTGTAGGTATAAGCTTTCAGATTAATGTGTCATGTGATAAGGATATGTTTTGTTGTAAGTAATGCTAAACTTCTTTTCAAATGAATCTACCATTTATATTCTCATGACCCATGAATGGGAGTTCCTGTTGATTTACATCCTCACCAGCGTCTGAAGGTGTCTTTTATGTTGACTATGCTTGTAGGTATGTAGTAGATTCTTTCCAATACTCATTAAAAACTTTAAATTTTATTTCATTCTATGTCTATGGAACTTTTGCCTGCATGTACAACTGTGTGTCACTTGTGTGCCTAGTACATGTGGAGGCTGGGAGAGGGCAGAAGAGCCTTTGGAACTGATGTGAGCCGATAATGTGGGTGCTGGGAACTGAACCTAAGTCCTCTGTAAGGTCACTGCTCTTAGCTATTGAGCCATTATCTCTCCAGCCCCTCTTTTAAGTGCATATTTAAATTTTAGACTTGAAGTTGTTTTAGAATTATGTACATCCTAGGCATGGTTTCTATGTATTTCAGTGACATTGAATTTATATATGTTGTTCAGGAGCTAATATCCACAATTTTTACAACTTGGAGAACAGAAACTGCCCATTAAAAAATTGCCTGTGAGTTTGGGCCTACTTTCCAATGTTCTACTGTCCTTGATCTCTGGCTCCCCCAAGTGATAGTTGTTGGGACTGCCACTCACGAGACTGCCATCTCCTTGTATTTGTCACTCTTGGGGAGGAGCTGTGTGAGTTGGAAGTTTTCTCCCAGTGACATAGCTACGCCTGACAAAGGGAAACCATGTCAGAAAAATGCTCAAACTTTCATCCTATTAATGAACCTGTGCTGGCTGGCTGCAACAACTCCATAATTGGTTTATAAAATTCTCATGAAAGCGTTTGGGTCTTACAGCCCCTCCCCGTGAAGCCTATGGGTCTCAGGTGTAGACTCAATCCACCTTATCAGTGCAGTACTTTTGAACTCCAGTCTCATGACGATGTCCAGAGGGCCCACCAGCACATTGTGTCTTTCACCCTATGATAGAGGTCCCAGATTATGGGCAGTTTGAATTTTTCTAAAACAGTAAATCCATATTGGCCACCAATAGATTGTCATGTGCAGACAGTACAGAACTGCAGCTCTCTGCGGATCCTGGGGAGGACTAATGATGGCACATAATCCTTGGAAGGCTCAAGCCTCCTCTAATTTTAATTTAAGGTATGTTGAGAATATACCTACCACTAGTACAAAGTGGGGGAGTTGGTAATAGACGGCAACAGAGGTAATGGTGCCCTTAGTGGTACATAGTGAATCCACAAACATTCCCCAAGAGAAAGGGATTACAGGACCCGAGGACAGTCTTCACTTTCCAAGAGCAGAAGTATAGGAGTACTAAGACATAGGGGCAAACTTGTGCTCTTGTGCAAACTGATTTGCAATCCAGTCAGAGGCAGCAGACATGATGAAGGCTTGAGTCATTGATCACATCAATGGATTTGTTTGGGTATTGGTGGTGGAGAGATGTCAGGTTCTAGAGCAGGATTTTAGTCAGGAAACAGTGGAAAGAGGTGCTAGGACTGGTCAAGTATCTTAATGCTATGTAGGTCTTATACCTCAAGAAACTGAGTTCTGATTCTGACAAGGTCACTGCTGGTAATCACATCTAATACCAGCCCTTTGCTGAACTTAGATATAATACAATTCCCAGTGACATGGCAACATATCTCAGACTGGGGAAGCAACTCAGTGATTAGCATTGCTTTGAATATCTGAGACCCTGGGTTCAGTAACAACACACAGCAAACCTCTTGCTATGTCTGGTCCTTATATCTGCTGGGGTTCTTGGTAAGTGTGCTCCCATCTTCTGCTTTAGCTAAAACACTGCTTCAGAGAGGTGACTATCCTACAACTAGCCTGGATGCCATTGGTTGTGATCAACAGATTGGAAACCATGCAGAAGGTGCTGGTAAAATGTGGAGAGAACTTCTTAGATCACCCACCTGTTCCTATCCAAAGACAAAGGTCGGGGGGGGGGGGCAGCGGCTAGCAAAGATGGCACAGAAGGGTCAGTGACCAGAACAGAGGCTAGTGGGGATGGTGATGTAGTCAAGAGATACAGTAAAAGCTACTGGATTCTACAGTGGAGTCTAAGAAAGAGAAATAGTATGTGGAAGGAATGGAGGAGGGGCTCAGGGCGGTGCTGGCTGCTGAGCCCAGAGGTGGAGAGCAATGTTGGGAGTAGGATGCACCACCAGGGATACTTGCTTACAAACATACTACATGTGGTACCCTGTTTCAGGGGTTCTATTGCTATGAAGAGACGCCATGACCATTGCAACTCTTATAAAGGAATACATTTTATTTGGACTGGCTTATAGTTCAGATGTTCAGTTCTTTATTGTGGAAAGTGTGGCAGCAAGCTCACAGACATGGTATTGGAGAGAGAGACAAGAGCTCTACATCTGGATCCACAGGAAGCAGGAAGAGAGTGAGACACACTGAGCCTAGCTTGAACATCTGAAACTTCAAAGCAGCATCTCAGTGGCACACACTTTCTCCAATACCACACCTAATAGTGCCACACCTTATGAGCCTATGGGGTGGCATTTTTTTTCAAACCATCACATATCCCATGGACTGGAAGTGACAGGAGCAGCTGTTGACACAGGTATTCTGTGTTAACCCTGCACAGCTTCAGCCTACACAAGAAATCATTGGAGCAGTTAATGACTGAGAATGCTCATTGTTTCAGTACTAGTTGACAGGCCAGTGAGTGATGGACTAAAGGACACAAGGAAGGGAGGGAGAGGAGCCACAGTGTGGGATAAGGTCAACTTAATCCACATCCTCACTTCCAGGACACCCATTCAGCTCTAACGCAATCCTAGGTCAATCTGCAATGTGGTTTGTAGAGTGTACCCACACATTTTGCTTGGGTGCTGGTTCTGCTAGAAGGAAACATGGAGGTTTGTATTCATTCAGAAGGTACCACTGTGCTCACGGGAGTCTTGTAGAACCAGCTTCATGCACTAGAGCCTCTCCAGAAGTTTTTTCATGCGTGAAGGATGCTGTGGAGCTGCACAGGCAGTAGGAAGGAGAGGAACAGCCCAAGTCTAAGACTCCAAAGAAGTTGAGGGTCTGTACTTCCATGTGATGACCATACCAGCCTTTGAGATTTGCAGGCTAGAATAAATTCTCAATAAAGCAAGACTGTAAGGGACTCTAAAGGCTAGAACTAGAGATGAGACCAGTGATGGGTTGGGGAAGATGGATAGGTTAATACTGGACTAAACTGGGAACTGAGACAGGTCCTGGTGAACAGTGTACACAGGAGCATCCACACCCTTTCTGGGTGTCACGGGCGCAGAAGATATTCCTGATGCTTCTGCACATGCCAGGACTGCCTAGCAAAGTCTGCCCTAGGCAGAAGGCACCCCTGCTGTATGAGCTAATGGCAGGGTAGAAGATGGTCTGAGATCCTAAATAGCATCCTTAAGACCTTATTGATGCCTTGCTGGCTGAGATGGGAAAAGTAAGAGACTGTGGACATCAGTGTCTGGTGGGTTGTATGTTTTTAAAACCAGTAACCTGGTACCTGGGCTGTCTGAAAACAATAAAACGATTATGGGACTTCTTTATGTTCCTGAGCACACTGTGCCTGGTCCAGGACAGGAGGAACCCCAAGAGCAACTTTGATGACAACATGTTTGTGGTTGCTAACCTATTAAGCAGGAATGTAGCCATCTGACCCTGTTGGTTTGGGTTCTGTGCATGATCCTGTCCTTAGATAATGTGGTGTAAGGCTGAGGTTGGAGGCAAAAGTATGATTGCAGTCCCAGACTTGTGACACGTGTGGCTCCTAGCACTGGCGTGACCCAGATTTTCACAAAAGTAGTGGGTATCTTTCTCATATGGATCAGCTCTCAACACAGAGATAAAAAAACATTGGGGTGAAGTCTTTATACTTTTTCGCTGAGGGAATATGCAGTCTCCAGGCTATGTCCAAAAGGAGGCTGGTGGCCTCATGGGGCCTGGTGTGGCCTCCACAGAAGGCACCCAGGCCTGTGTGCTTTTTACCACTACCATGGTCCTTGAGGTGCAGTTTTTTGGGGATAAGATGCCAGTGAATTGGTCCCATATGACATCTTAGGAAATTGAAGTATAGGGCTTCCCCTAATTAATCACGGACTCTCCTCCCTAGCACAGCCACCCCAAATAAAGGCTACCTCATTCTGGATTTCCAGCATACCGATGAGTGCATCTACAGTGATGCAGCCATTGCCGATAGAGTTCCCAGGAAGTGAGAGAACAAATGAAAGCAAGTGCTGACTGATTTTAGAAAGCACTACATACAGACACAGGCTTGGGCAAGGAGAACTATGGGACTCTTCTTGGGAGCGGGCAAGAAGCCTCTAGGGGCAGAGTTTATGCATATGAACTTAGTATCTAGGATCTTGGTATTCCCATTGACCACAGGTTCATACTCTGTGCCTCCTGCTGAGACACATCACCAACCTGGCCATGGTGATGAAGGATGGGAGATGCCCCACCCCTTTCCATCCTGAACGCTTTCTGGAATCCCAGGACCACCTTATGAAACAAGAAGTCTTCAAGCTATACTTAGCAGGTATCTTTGGGTTGTCTATATCCCTGTGCCTTTTCCAGGGTGTCTTGGAGGATAGAGTCAGATCCTAGGCTGGCTTAATATGCCTTGGGGAGCTCCTGGCTAACATAAAGCCCTTCCTTTAGTTTTTTGATGCCCAGTGGACAGTACTAGTACACTGACCATGGCATTTTCATAGTTCCAGTTAGCCCAAGCCTCTACAGCTCTGTACAGTTGTACACTAGCAAGGGTACCAATTCCAGACTAATAAATAATAAATCTTAAGGTGGTCATTTGATTTCTTGATCTAACCTCAATTCTTGTGTGCTGGGTTCTCAGACAAGAATCTACAACTAACCCTTACCATGTCATCCCTCCACAACAGCTTGTATATTATGAAAAAGTCCTGTGTCACAAACAGTGGCATAAGCATGCACATTCAACGTATGAGGCCAGCAGCAGAATACAAGTTCTAGGCTAGTAGGAGTTGTATAAAGAATTAAAAAGCAGCCTGTATCTTTAATAATGATAATAACAAATAAATAAAAATAAAAGGAGGAAGGGAGAAGAGAAAGGGACACCTGTGCTGATGTTCAGCAAGTGCCAGCTAAACCTGTATCACACATAGACACCCATAGTTTGATGAGCTACA